TAAATATAAAAGGTTTCTCTATATATTCTTTAGTATAATAGTAGAAATATTAAAGAAACTTAAAGAAACTATAATAATTCTCTTTTAATCTTATAGGTATTATACTTTTATATATTATATATATAATATATTTTATTATATTAATTATTTATATTATATTTTCTTTACTCTTATAAATATATTTATATTATTATATAATTATATTTATATTATTATATAACTATATTTATATTATTATATAACTATATTTATATTATTATATTATTATATTATAAATATTATACTTAATTACTTATTTTTAGATATATAAGAATATCTAAGATTAATAAAATATAAAATATTATATTATATACCTTTTATATCTTTTATAAATATAGTAAATTTTACCTTTTTATCTTTCTTTCTTTATACTTCTTTATAAAATCAAAAAATTTTAATTATATTTTAATTTTTTTAAATTATAAATATAAGAATAATATAAGATTTACTAGGAAAGAAGAGGAAAGAGAAGGAAAAGAAAGAGAAAGAAGAGGAGGAGAAGGAGAGAAGAAGAAGAAGAAAGGAAGAGAAGAAGAAAGAGAAGGAAAAAGAGAAAAAGAAAATAAAATAAGATATAAAATAAGGTTTACCTTACTTTATATCTCTCTTACCTTTACCTACCCTTTCTAAGAAGTTAGTTAACCTCTTAAATAACCGATTTACTCTAAAACTTTATAGAGATAGATAAAGTTATCGGCTTACTACTATAGGTAGCTTACTATCTATAAAGTAGATAGTAACCTACCTATAATACTTACCGATAACTTTATCTAATATCTCTTTAAGATATTAGACCGAGTCGTTTATAACGACTTTAACTATTATTAGCTATACTAGTAATAACTATAATCTTTACTATAGGTATAGTAAGGATTATACTATTACTAAAAATCCTAAGGCTTAAGTTTTTATATATAATCAATATTATAAATTAAAGAAGACTATAGAAGAATATAGATTATAGAAGAAAAGAAGGATTATTAAACGATTTAATATAATTTCCTTTTAAGAAAAAATAAAAAAAAAACTTATAAAAAAAAAAAAAAATAAAAAAACTAATAGTTTAGATAGTAATACTATCTAAACTATTATCGATTCGATAAAGTTCTAGAAGGAGAGGGTAGTAAGAGACTTTACCGATTAATTATAAGGAATCTTCGACCAGAGTAAACCGAAAAAAAGAGAAGAGGAAGAAGAAGAAGAAGAAGAAGAGGAAGAAAAAGAGAAAGAAGAAGAAGAAGATAAAGAAGAAGATAAAGATAACGATAAAGATAACGATAATAATAATGATGATAAAGATCGTGATCGCGGTGAAGGCTCAAGTCGCAATCCTCCTCCTCCTCCTCTCTCTCGCAAGCTCTCCCTTCGTAGATAATTGTAATTGTATTTCATTAATGCCTATCTATGTACATGACTATGAAGTGTGAGTGTGATCTATGAAAGGTGAGCATGGCATTGCCATGCTCAC